GTGTGTGTGTGTGTGTGTGTGTGTGTGTGTGTGTGTGTGTGTGTGTGTGTGGGCACATTTATGCTACATTGCGGGAGCCATTTTCCAGAAAAAGGCAACCTTGTGCGAACCAAATGTGCAACGTAGGAGGGACCGATGCCCGGTCCCCACAGGTACGGATGATAATTTCGGGTGGGGGGCTGGGTTTAAGACCAAGGTGTGAATTGAGTTTAGTTACACAGTTTTAGGTTCAGGTGACCCTAACCTGCTCAATTTTAGGGTAAATGGTCAGGGTTAGGATATAAAGTTACCAGAGAATAAATGRAAGTCAATCTACGGCCCCCACAGGGATATAAAAAACCTGTGTGCGTGTGTGCACACTTGTTTCTGCTACAGAGTGAGGACCGTCATATGTTTTTAATCAACAAACTGGGGTCATTTTAGGGAAGTGAGGACATTTTCCTCAGTCCTCGCTCTTGTTTTGCAGTTCTACTGTACTCTACTAGTTAGGTTAGAGATATGGTGTTAATTAGGTTTTGGGTAAGATTGGGGTTAGGAATAGACTAGTAATCTCACAGAATTTGCTCATTTGGTTGAGTTTCTGTGGTATTTAAGCCGCGGTAGCTGCCACTCGCCTCTCCACACAGACAGAAAAGAAATAAAATAAAAAAGTCAGCCGCGTCGTAGAAGCTCTCTGAACACCAGTGTCCTCCACACTGCAGAGCAAAGCAATACGTTTAGGGCAGAACAACACCCCAGCGATTCTTATGAATCTGGAGAGCAACTTTTCTGTGATTTTGTCAACACGTGATCGACTGGACACATAAGAATACATGAGATGACCACTTCCTGTCAAAGACTCCCAGAAACAGAGCTGAGCGAGACAGACACATCTGCAAACTCTTCAACATTCAGCCACATCAGCAGGAGCGAGGCGTCCGTTCACTGAAAACAATCTGGAGTCAGGACAGCCTAGAGATGGGCTGCAACTAACGATTCATTTGTTGTCAATTATTCAGTTTATCTTTTCAAATTAATCATCAAAAAATAAATTTACACCTCTTTATYCATACATGTCAATCCCTTTGGATGTTTACCTGTATAATGAGCCTCATAAATCCATAATTTTCACAAAAGAAAATGTAATCATGTGTGAGCTTGGGTGGTTTGGGTGCAGGCGGACGGTCAGTCTGCGGAGATGAAAGCAACTGCAGTGCAAAGCAGTGGCAGATGCTGGTCTTTCAAGAAGGGAAAGCTCAATTTTGGCCTACATCAGAAAATGTGTCGGTTTATTTATATGGAAATTCTACCCTCCGTTCCTTTTCAGCACATCCGGTCAGCCAGCTCACTTTGTCACCAGGACAGCTGAAAAGAAAGACCTGTTACTTTTCCCCACCTTTGGCACCAAATTAATCTGAGGAGTTGATCAGCCCTGCTGTTTAACTCTTAAGTTTTTCTTCATAAGGAAGACTATCAAATGGCTTCGCCAAAATCCAGTCCACATTATTCAAACTGTCTGTCTTTATGTGCAGCTTGTTACTGGTGCGAGGCTAGTGTGAAGTGTGTCTGTCTGTGAGTGCTTTGTGACGGTGAAGGGACTCCAAAGCCCCCGATGGACAGAAGTCAGAAAGTCTGTCTCCAAACACAAGCAGATACAAAAAATAAACAAAAAAACAAACAAAAAAACACCAGAAATAGAAGCTTGATTTGTTGCTAGTTGTTTTTAACAAAGAAAATGTTGCTAAAAGGATTAATAAAGTCTCCAGTTCAACTCAGAACAGAAACGAAACTAAAAAAAGCTCCCACAGATG